GGGAAAGAGAAAGACAAAGACTGACCCTGGCCTCCCCGCAGGCCGAGAGTTCCTCTCCCCTCCAGCAGTACAGGAGGGGGGACAGAAGAGAAAGCCACACCCATACTCACTCACTATTAATATTCTACATAGATGATTCCGTTAACTATAAAGAGGTGCCCTCAGGTCATGGTATGTGATCAGCCAGGAAGCCTGCGGTAGTCACCGTTGGATTGGAGTGAAGAGCTGGCCTGGCACTTCTCCCACCGGACAGTGAGCATTACACCTACACTCACCACTGTCCTCTGCTCCCTAACAGGATGTGTGGCAGGTTCCTGAGGCGGCTGGTGGTGGAGAGCCGGCACTCCACCCCCGTGGGGCGCCTCCTGCTTCCCGTGCTCCTGGGGTTCCGCCTCGTGCTGCTGGCCGCCAGTGGGACGGGGGTCTACGGCGACGAGCAGAGCGAGTTCGTGTGTCACACGCAGCAGCTGGGCTGCAAGGCCGCCTGCTACGATGCCTTCCACCCTCTCTCCCCGCTGCGCTTCTGGGCCTTCCAGGTCACCCTGGTGGCTGTACCCAGTGCCCTCCACGTGGGTTTCACTCTGTATCATGTGATCTGGCACTGGGAGGAATCTGAAAAGGTGAAGAAGGAAGAGGAGACCCTGATCCGCCAAGGGGAGAAAAGCAGAGATGCCTTGGGGCCTGGAAGCCCCAGGGTGCTCTGGGCCTATGTGGCACAGCTGGGGGTGCGACTGGTCCTTGAAGGGGCAGCCTTGGGGGCGCAGTACCATCTGTATGGGTTCAAGATGCCCAGCTCCTTTGCGTGTCGTCGAGAGCCTTGCCTTGGTAGTATAAGCTGTAATCTGTCTCGCCCCTCTGAGAAGACCATCTTCCTGAAGACCATGTTTGGGGTCACTGGGCTCTGTCTCTTGTTCACGCTTTTGGAGCTTGTGCTCCTGGGCCTGGGGCGATGGTGGAAGATCTGGAAGCACAAATCTCCCTCTTCTAACTACTTCTCAACTTCAGAGAGCGCCCAAAGACACAAGGAACCGACTGATAACTTCCCCGTGGTGGAAACAAAAGAACGGTTTGCAGAAGCAGGTGAGAGGGGCACTGATGTCCCTCTTTCTACCTGTGCCTGATGATCCCCCACGGCAAGCCCCTCACCCTCCAGGAACTACAACTCCCACACGTTACAAAGTAGAAAACCAGGTTCTACGCAGATGTGTCCTAACCACTCATCCCACCCCATCGCCCAGCTGCATCCCCATCAGCTGGATGGTTCCTTCCAATGAACCAGGACCCAAGTGCTCAGTTGATTGTACCTCCTGCCCTTTCATTTAGGTCTCTTCCCACTTAGGAAAAGTCTCAGCTTCTGCTTGATCCTCTCCTCTACAGAATTGTGAAGACACCCGGCTCACCTCTGAAGGAAACTCTCTGACTGCATCTTTGTCCGAACATCCAGTGAGTGGGGAGTCTATCTCCATGGTAAAGTAAAGGCTTTTGAAGCATATCCAAGAGCCTTGGGGGGCCACGGTGTCTGAAGCTTTTCCTTGGAGATCTCCTGCTTGTGCCTTCTCACCAGAATTCCCTGGAGTCAGCATCACAATTTTCATGGGCTTGGTTCCAGAGTCAGCCAGCAGAAACCTCCATAAAACCGTGCCTCTCTGTCCTGTGCAATAAATATTGACCACTGTTGCTGGCATTCCTGTTGCTGAGGTCAATCCTCTTTCCTGTCTCAATCATTCTA